CCCAGGCGGGTCTCAACCCGCGGGCTCAGGCAATCCACTCACCTCAGCCTCCCAAGGAGCGGGATTACAGGCTGAGCCACCAAGCCCGGCTATTCAGTGGCTTTTTAAAACTACTTTTGTAAAGACTGTATTCTTTGTTTTATGTGGCAGCAGAAGTCTCTGCTCAGCATAGTAATCAGCTAATGCTTAGAGAGATTTTCTTAGATGCCAGGAATGAGTAAGTCTCAAAGTCTTTGTAAGGGCTCTGTGTATATCTGAGGGACGCCTTCAACTTTCAGCCAGGCAGTCAGTTAACAACTCTGCCTTAGCTTTCACTTTCTGTTTTCATAAAACCTCAAGGTCACCTCAAAGCGAGAGCTTAGATTTTTCTTACGTCTTTTCTGAGCAGATGCATAACCCTGGGCATGAGCACATCCTATGTGTGTATATGGCCTTGTAGAGTCCCACATATATTTCGGAGCTTTTCAACATCACTATGAATGTCTTATTCTCCAGCTTTTCCTTTTAAGCTTTTTGGTTAATCTGTTGTTTTTCCCAACTGCTACCTGATGCTTCAGGCAGCCACAATGATCACCAATTGCTGCTAAATCTTTTTAACATTTTCCTCTGGGGAAATGCGCTGAGTAAGGTCAAGTAAAGACAGTCTTGAAAGCGGGGTCTTCTAAGGAACTACCAGACAGGTTACATAATGACAGTTTTTTGAGCGTAAAGTAGTAAGGAAACTCTAACTCGTTCTGCCCCTTCCAGTGGCTCCCAGGCTGCTGTGTTTTATTGTGATTATGGGCTGTTTGTTTCTATCACAGAGCTGAAGAGTAGGGGGTAGGAACAGGGCAAGTTGAAATGCCATCAAGTGTGCTATTCCTGCTTAGTTGTTTTCTGTGAATAAATGCTGCTATTCTTGCTGATACAGAGTTCTGAAAGAACATAGTGTTCTTTGTTTATATATAGGGAGAATTGAAGGTACAGATTTCAATTTTTCCCAAAGTGAATCTTAAATTTAATGTAATTTCAACTTTTCAGTTATGTGAAATAAATCAAATTGATTCTAAAATATATGTGAAAACGTTAAGGGGCAAGAATAGCTAAAATATTCCTAAAGAACACAAAAACAGGAGGAAACTGACTAACTTGATATGAGAACTCTTATAAAATTAAAGAAATTAAGATGTGGAGTATTATTACAAATAAAATAATGAAACCTTTCACGCCCTTTTATTTAGGCATATCTCTTAAAAATAACATACTCGAATAGCTAGATTTGATATGCAAACTGAAAATCTTTGTCTTTTGAAGTGAGAGCTTAACCAGCTTATGTTTATTTTGCTATATCCACCATCTTTTGTGTTTTGGGTTTGTCTTTTTATGTTTTCTTCTTATTTCTTGTTTTTTTTTTTTAATGTTATTGCCCTATTTTCTTTGGATTCTGTTTTATTTTTTTTTCTTTTCATATTTACTCTAAATTTTAACACATTAATTTAATCAAATATAATCTGTATTTTTGCTTTCCTTCTAAACAATTCAAAGGCCTTAGAACATTTAATCTCTGATTACCCTTCCTAGATTACATGCTATTGATGTATCCAGTATTTTAGCTCTCTAATTTTGTTAGCTTTTTATTTTAAAATATTTATGGATTCACAGGAAGTTATTGAAGATATTGTTCCACCCTTTTCTTGCTTCTATTATTGCTATTGAGAAATCATCATCAGCCTCGTTCCTTTTTTATAGGCCTATGTTTTCTCTCTGGCTCTTTTTAGGATCTTCTCTTTGTTTTTAGGGTTCTACAGTTTCACTATTAGGGTTACTATGTTGCACAGCTCCTGGGAACACACACCATTTGTGTGGTGTTTGTATGGATAGTGTCCTCTAGAGTTGTATAACCTGGTAGATGCAGATTTCTTTTTATTTATTCTGTTCATGATTCATTGTGCTTCCTGTATATGAGGATTTGTATCTGTAATCAATTTTTGAAAATTCCTTGAATAATTGCTGCTTTTTCTTTTTAAAAATTTATATAAATTTATGGGGTACAAGTACACTTTTGTTATACACATAGTGGTAAAGTCTGACTTTTTATCTAGCATTTCTATTAGAGTATTTTAGCATATTTTTTCTGCCCTAATCACTGACTCAATTTTTATTTTTTGGCACATATTAGAAACAAACTGTGGCTATCTAGATATGGGAAACATTTCTTGGGAATCCATTTGTGGACATTCTCAATCTTGTCTAGGATCTGGATAGGTTTAAACATGCCTGAATTGTGCTGAAAATTTCTGTCACTAGAACATGCTAAAGTGATCTACATGTACTAAAGATAACTGAATATACATTTTCAAGTTTCCTGCTATTTCCAATAATATTTTTTGATAGTATTTCATTTTAATAAAAATAATGCAAGGTAATTTACAAGTGATTAGTGATATTATAAAGAAATTGACTTAATTAAAAATAATATTATAAAGATGTTAGTCTGGCTAATTTTTTTTATTTATTGTATAGATGAGGTCTCGACGAGGTCTCGCTGGCCTCAAACCTCTGGGCTTAGGCAGTCCTCTTGCCTTTACCTCCCAAAGTGTGCTTTATCCCGTAACTTTTTTTTTTCCAGTTTGCCAGTTATTGGACAGAATCAAACGGGCTGGAAGCTAAATCATTAACTCCAGTATTACACAGAGCATCTGCAGATAAATTAAAGAACAAAGAAAATGTATATATTCCTAAGTCGATTGTAAAGAATGAAGAGAACTTTGTGTTTCCTGAGCCAAAGACTCCAGTTAATAAGAACCAACATAAAAGAGAAATACTAGCTACACCAAGTTGTTACATTACACCTTCAAAAGGTATTTGCTAAGTGAAATAAGATATTTCATTCTTCTTACCATGTTAAATAAATAGATAGCAGGTCAGAAAGGACTAGCACTGTCTGAGGAATTTCTAGAAGTGAAGTTGCTTTTTATCATGTTATTTGCATTAGTTGAAATGAGGGCATATTTGTCAACTTCTAATTTTTCTCAAATGATACTAAGTTTTTCGGTTTTTCACATTTATAAAATTGAGTCATAACATTACAGGGTATCAAAGATGAAAGGTAATTAGAGTTCATCTAATCCAGCTCCCTTTTTCACAGCTAAGGAACCTGAGACTCAGAGGAATGAAGTGATTTGCCCAAGGTCATATATTCAGATTTAGACCTTGCTTACCGTTTACCCATTTAGAATGACTCAAGCAGAAGTTTCTGCTGTGCCATTCTTACTCACCTGGATCTCCACTTCTGGTATCTAGTCTAGTTCTGCCCTGCTGTATTACTGCCTATAACCAGCAGACAGAGTAAATCTGTGATACCCTCCAGATATGTACAGATATCACAGCGTCCTCATTTCCCTTGATTTCCTCTTCAATTTAGTCATCACCAGCTATTTAAACTGTTTTCTTTATGACACCTCAATGTTTGGGTTGCTGGCTTCATCTAGGCACATTCTATTTTGTCAGTCTGCCCTTTAAAATTTAGTGCCTAAAACTACCCAGTTTTCTAGCAGTCTCACTAGGATAAAGTGGTAACATGACAGTAGAGACTTTGTCTGCCCTGTTTATTACAACATAGCACAGCATGAGTAGGGGCCGTATTTGTTGTCTGGTAAATAGTAGGTACCTGATACCTAGTACATAGTGGGACCATAATTATTGAATGAAAGAATAAATTAGTCTGAAGGAGTTTTCTTTATGGTGATCTAGTCTATGTCACTTTTTAAAATGAGACCTAAACTTTATTAGCCTTTTTTCTAGCAATTGTGACCTTCTGTTGTGTTAAATTAAGATACTAATGAACCTAAACTCTGAAGCATTGCCATGTAAACTGCTGCTAAACTGCATACTGCCATTATGCTTTTAGTTTGCTAATGGGGCTTCATAGCCAGTTTAAGGGGTCAACTTATCCATTAAAGATGTTATGAAAGACTTTGTCAGAATATTTGCTAGCAGTCCTTTTTCTATGATAATGACATTCTCCATTTCACCGACTCAAATAACACTTCCCCAAAAAATACTTTAGTGTGATGATGTGGGACCTCAGTAATAACTGTCATTTCATTTTTTTTCCCCCAAGAGGGTCTCTTTTGTTAGGTCTTTTGTGAATCATGGGACTGAACTGAGAGATAAGATGGGTCTTAGCTTACCTCAGCTCATTCAAAGCTTTTTTTTTGAATCAGAGTCTCACTCTGTTGCCCAGGCTTGAGCGCAGTGGCACATTTACAACCACTGCAGCCTCAACCTGCTGGGCTCAGGCGAACCCCCTCAGCCTTCCAAGTAACTGGAACTGCAGGCGTGTACTACTATGCCTGGCTAATCTTTTTATTTATTGTAGAGATGAGACCTCGACAAGGTCTTGCTGGCGTCAAACCCCTGGGTTTAGGCATTCCTCTTGCCTTTACCTCCCAAAGTGCTGGGATTACAGACATGAGTCACCACACCCAGCTCAGAGGTTTTCTATTAATTTAAAAGACAAAAAACAAGTCAGGCTCGGTGGCTCAGCCTGTAATCCCGCGCCTTTGGGAGGCTGAGGTGAGTGGATTGCCTGAGCCTGCGGGTTGGAGGCCCACCTGGGCAGCGAGACCTCATCTCTACAATAAATCAAAAAATCAGCCGGGTGTGGTAGCGCATGCCTGTAATTCCAGCTACTTGGAAGGCTGAGGCGGAAGGATCGCCGGAGCCCAGCTGGTGGAGGCTGTGGTGGCCGGGAGCGGCCACTGCACTCCAGTCTGGGCGACAGAGTGAGACTCCAACTCAAAAAAAAAAAAAACAGACAACTTTTGATGGTGTAGTCCCTTCCATTATTGACATTTTACTTGTTATGTAACTCTGAAGGTTTTGCAATCTGTGTTGTTTGGAGTTCATTTTGTAACCTTGAATTATCATCAGTTTGTATGTCTTTTCCCTGTGAGAAAGATTGTGTTGGTCAGAAGCTACTGGTCATTTCTCTTTAAACATAAGAGCTACCTAAGAAAACAAATGGCTGAAGCCATGATTGATAGCTTTCATTAGCACTTTGCATTTTTACTTTTGCTGTGAGTTTTTTTTAAATGTAGATGTTAATTTCATCTTTGTGACTCTTATACAATCCAGTCAGTGACAGTTTGTAGAAAGACAACTCTGTCTGGTGGTAGACACTGTCAGTATACAAAGTCGAAAACTGTTTTCATAGATATTTCTGGTTTCTCTTATTTTCTTGTTCTTATGGAACTAGAAAGGATAAAGCTAAATAGACATAAACAAAACCAAACCTTCAATCCTTTTTTTTTTTTTTTTGAGTTGGAATCTCACTCTGTCGCCCAGACTGGAGTGCAGTGGCCGCTCCCGGCCACCGCAGCCTCGACCTGCTGGGCTCTGGCAATCCTTCTGCCTCAGCCTTCCAAGTAGCCAGAATTATAGGCATGTGCTACCACGCCCGGCTGATTTTTTGATTTATTGTAGAGATGAGGTCTCGCCTGCCCAGGTGGGTCTCGAACCCGCGGGCTCAGGCAATCCACTCACCTCAGCCTCCCGAAAGTGCGGGATTACAGGCTGAGCCACCGAGCCGGCTTCCAATCCCTTTTTAAAACCATGATATTATGTCTTTGTTATTGCTATGTGACTGTTATCTCTAAAGGACATAAAACTTTTAGATCAGTGACTAATCAGTGGTTATCAGATCTATTAATACAAACTCATTACAAACTATCTGGGATGAAAATACCCTACATAGAGTAAAACATAAAATTTTAGAATAGGGAATGTAAAAAAAATAATCAAAGCTCACATCTTTTTAATAACTTATGTCAAAATTTCACAGGGGACTGTACTCTTTGCCTACCAGAAATTGAATAGGGCTCTGAACTGAATAAACATCTTTCAATACTATATCAATTAAAAGCATTAATTGGACCTTTGTATAAATACAGATTGACTTTTATTATAGAAAGGAGAATCAAGATCAAAGCTGGGCTCAGAGCCTTACGCCTATAATCCCAGCACTTTAGAAGGCCAAGGTGGGAGGATTGTTTGAGGCCAGTAGTCCAGACCACCTGGACAACATCGTGAGTCCTTTTCTCTACAAAAAAAAAAAAAGTACAATTAGTCGGACGTGGTGGCGTGCTTCTGGTCCCAGCTACTCAGTAGGCTGATGTGGAAGGATTGTTTGAGCCTGGGAGGTCAAGTTTCAGTAAGTCCTGATCTTCAGCCTGAGTGACAGAGCAAGGTACTAACTTAAAAAAAAAAAAAGTAGAATTAGTAATTATGAGATTTGTATTTATATGATCTATTTAATTAATCATACCCTATTTATAATAAAATCCTAAGTATGTCCTCAGTTTGCAGTTGAAGAAAAAGAAGAGCCACACATACAAGGCAAAATGGTTGTGTTTTTATTATACACCACATGAAAACATTTCTTTAAGAATTAAAGCCTTTGACATCATTGGCCAAGTGATTAAAATATTTGAGTTAGTGAATAACATGATGTTTGTGTTATTGATAAACATTTGGGACTCATAATATGTCAGCTACTTATGGTTTGTCTTTGTTGTATTTCTTACAGCTAGAAACCAGTGCCTGAAAGAAACCCCAATTAAAACGCCAGTAAATTCAACAGGAACAGCCAAGTTAATGACAGGTGTCATTAGCCCTGAGAGGCGGTAAATGTTCAGTTTTTGTTTAGACTCCTTGATCGTTAGTGCATATAACCAGATTTTCTGTTTTGTTCATGATAAACCTGATTAAGATGAATCATCACATAGATTCTGTTGGAGATTGTAGAAATATCTGTGTGAGAATGGTCTGTGGCATCGCTATTTTCCTCAAGAGGTAGAATCGTGAAATGGATGAGCAGTAGAACTGGCTCCTTAGCTTAAAGCACAGCAGACTGGAAAGACAGTGGCCCTGGCCCCCGCCTTGTGGTTCCTCTCTGAGGCCCATCTTTTCCTACTCCTCTGCCAGTAAACGATCCACATCTACTAACCGCGTAGTCCCTCCAGATAGTAAGGAATACTAACTGGTGCTTCAAAGAAAACCCACTTCCCTTGTTTGAAAAGTTCTGTTAGCATAGGTGATCCTTCAATCTTTTATAGCAACATTGTAAAAGTATAGCCCATCTTGGGGACAGTTGGGGGAATTAGAATGTGAGCTGGGTTTTAGATGATACCATGAAATTATTAATTTCCTTGATGTGATAATGATATTGAAGTTCTGTAAGAAAATGTTCTTATTCCCTGGAGATGTATACTGCAGTGTTTCAGAGTGAAGTGTCATGATCCAGTGGGTTTACTTTCAGAAGACTTAGCAAATAAATATGCATATTTAATGTGTTATCTATATAGGGAAAGAAAATGTGGCAAAATATTAATTGATAAATGTAGGAGACTATATGGGTGTTCATTGTATTGTTCTTTCCATTTTTACGTATATTTGACATTTATTTAAAAAGGAAGGGAAAAAATAGTCTTGCTGAATGACAGTCAGCTGGGAAAAGGGTGATGGCTTCTGCCCAGTAAGAGATGGCTTTGGTGCTCCCTGAAGAGGAGCCGAGGGATCTGGCCCTAGCATGCTGAATGAGGCACCCTGATGTGTGTAAAGGGACAATAACCTACCCTTGAGGGCCCTTCAGGCAGGAGGCCCAACTCTACCTGGGCTTTGTTGTTTTTCTTTTAAGGTGCCGCTCAGTGGAACTGGATCTCAACCAAGCACATATGGAGGAGACTCCAAAAAGAAAAGGGGCCAAAGTGTTTGGGAGCCTTGAAAGGGGATTGGATAAGGTGATCACTGTGCTTACCAGGAGCAAGAGGAAAGGCTCTACCAAAGACGGGCCAAGAAAGCTCAAGGTAAGTAGGCAGGAATTCTTTCATATGGACTTCAGATGCTGACTGCTAACTGGACTTTTTCTTTTCCTTTTTTTTTTTTTTTTTGAGCCAGGATCTCACTCTGTTGCCAGGCTGGAGTGTAGTGGTACCATCATGGCTCACTGCAGCCTCAACTTCCTGAGCTCAGGCGATCCTTCTGTCTCAGCCTCCTGAGTAGCTGAACTACAGGTGTGGCTAATTTTTTAATTTTTTGCAACTCCTGGGCTCAGACAATCCTCTTATCTCTGCCTACCAAAGTACTAAGATTACAGGTGCGAGCCTGGCTTCTTCTTCTTTTTCTTTTTTTAAGAAAAATACTGAATGAATTTATTACTATTTTTTATTTGCTTATTAATTTAGTTAATATGTATTTTTTGAGCAACTAATAGCTGCATGTTACTATGCAGTGAGCTTTGAGAATTAACAGATAAATTAGTTATAGTCACTCCCTTCAAGGAGTAAACAACTATAATTCAAATGCTCAAGAGCAGGTAGGGGGATTAATTACAAAGGCGACATGGAAGTGAGGAATCATGGGCTTTTCTGGGGAACTGAGAGCTGCCTGAAGGAGGGGAACTTGAGCTCAGTTGTTGTGTCTATGGCAGGACACATAGATAATACCATTGTAGGCTGACCCTCACAAAATATTTGAATGCACGGGAAGATAATTGGAACTTTGGGTGTGGTGTGTGAGGAATGTAGTGAGTGACAGACTGGGAAGGTAGGCCTTAAGGTCTGCAAGGCCTGGCTACAGGGTCTGGATCTTACTTGTAGACCTGTTATATTTTAAAAGAGTCAGTGTGTCAGTAGTGTGGACAATATATTTGGTGGATAAAGGAAAGAAAAAAATGAACTATTAGTGGATGTAAAATGCGCCTCACAATCTTGGATTCTCTCTGAGCACCCATTCAAGCATCTAATGAATGACATTTTTGTTTGGTGGAAGTGAAGGAAGTAAGAGGAAGAGGGATGAATAAGACACAGCCCACAACCTTGAGGAACTCAGAAAGGCTGTGCAAACAGGCTGGGATGTTGCTCTGACACACTGGGCTCAGTGCTGTGGTGGAAACATTCCAGGAGATGTGGGCCCAGAGAAGGGAGAAAATGGTAGTGTTCCTATGATTTGGGGACTAGGTCAGTGTTTAGTTTTTGCATCAGATTTGTGCATAGAACAAATCTGGGCAGTTTGTGGGAAGGAAAATGCTGAGCTGTTGGGTAGAAGGGTGCTTCAGAGGAGAATGTTCTGAGGTCCCATTTATGTTCTGTCTTCAAGTGGAAGAAGATAGGACTTATCCCATAGTATTCATTACTTTGTTGAACTTATATAGTGCACTGAGAAGTGTATATTACATGTGGCTGTTGTTTAGGCATATTTTATCCTTTTATTTTGGGATTTTTCCTAGTTGGAGACAGTTAAGAAGCATTTTAAAAACTGACATTGGGATTAAGAAAACCATAGTTCCATTTCCCTGAAAAGCATTAAATAATGAAGAAAACTTGTTCAACCATATATATTATTGAGAAGCTAAGTAATCATCAAATACTAATGGATTACGTTCTAACAATGTTCACTTATATAAGTTTTTTGGAACTTGTATGCATTTTTCAATAGGAATTATCCTAGAATCAGCTCCTGGAATGCTGTAATATTCCTTAAATTATCCAAAAAGTAAGGACACATATCCAGGTAGTCACAAAGCAAACACTGTAGGGCATTTGTTTTATCTTCCCACAGTTCACATTTCAGAACAGTTAATATTGCTGCCATAGTGTGAGAAAGGAGGAACAGGCAAAACTCAAACAGATAGATACTATTTAATATTTTTCTTTCCTTATTTTTTTTAGTTGGAGTCTCACTCCGTCGCCTAGGCTGGAATGCAGTGGCATGCTCACGGTCACCCCAGCGTCAACCTGCTGGACTCAGGCAATCCTTCTGCCTCAGCCTTCCAATTAGCAGGAACTACAGACACATGCTACTATGTCCGGCTAATTTTTTATTTATTGTCGAGATGAGGTCTCTCCAAGTTGCCTGGGGTTGGTCTTGAATCCATGGGCTCAGGCAGTCCGCTCACCTCGGCTTCCCAAAGTGCTGGGATTACAGGCTGAGCCACCAGACCCAGCCATTTCTTTCTTTCCAAAGCATTTTTTTAGTTAGAGAGAGGGATCTTGCTATGTTTCCCAGACTGGTCTCAAATTTCTGGGCTCAAGCAATCCTCCTGCCTCAGCCTCCTGAGTAGCTAAGACTATAATCATGTATACTGTGTCCTGCTTAATATTTATTTCTCAAAAAAGATTGGTAGGAGAGGAAGATGAAAGTATAGAAAGGAAGATGTGGGTGTGGTTACCAATAAACATAATTTCTTCAAGCTTTCCCAGTGCCATTGGCTTACCAGAGTTGACTGTACATTCTTCTAGTGTTTTCTGGAAGCAGTTCCATTTGAAAAGGTACTATAACTATATTAAGGAGTTTTAGAACTTTAGATATGGTAGGATGGTATTTGTGTTGATAAAAAGATCTACTTCTCACCCTTTCTTTTTCTCTTTTAAGCTTCATTATAATGTAACTACCACCAGATTAGTGAATCCAGATCAACTCCTGAATGAAATAATGTCTGTTCTTCCAAAGAAGCATGTTGACTTTGTACAGAAGGGGTAAGAAGCACACTTACAGGCTGTTACATTATTACTTAATATCTTTTGGACTTTGGGAAAACATGGGCTGATCTCACCTCAATCCCAAAACCTTTTAAGGTAGTATAATTGTTTATAATTTATTCTCTTTTTTGTGCAAGCTATGTAAGTTTTAAAAACACACATATTATCCTGATCTCATTTCAAAATAGAAAAGTATGAACTGTTTCCTGGCTTTCTTTTAGAGCCTCTGTTTTCCTTTTATTTTCTGTGTAAAAATATTTATAAAATGTAATCTAAATTTGGGAGACTTTCCAACAAATCACGAATATGTATAGAATCCTTCTCTCTGTGACTGGCTATTTTACAGGATTGGGTTTTCAGTGCTTTAGGAAGTTATTCCACCTTGACTCACTCTCACTGTTGAAGGAACTGCCGTCCAAGGCTCCTTGGTTATGATCTCACAGTCTGAAGAGCCAGAACTCTTCTGGTAACCTATCATGTCCATGTTTTTAAGCATTTTCATTCACTTATGTCTCTGTAACATTTCTTTATTAAAGCATCCAGTTGAGCCAGAATAGGTTTAAACTTGTAAATAGAACAGTTAGTACAGAGTAGGGTTTTTTGGTTTTTTTTTTGAGTTGGGTCTCACTCTGTCGCCCAGACTAGAGTGCAGTGGCACACTCCCAGCCACCGCAGCTTCGACCTGCTGAGCTCCAGTGATCCTTTCAAGTAGCTGGAACTACAGGCACACGCTACCACGCCCGGCTAATTTTTTGATTTATTGTAGAGATAGGTCTTGCCAAGTTGCCCAGGTGGGTCTCGAACCTGCAGGCTCAGGCAATCCACTCACCTCAGCCTCCCAAAGCGTGGGATTACAGGCTGAGCCACCGATCCCGGCTTAGAGTAGGGTTTTAAGAAGCAATCTTTTACAAATATAATTTTACTTTTTACTTATTGTAAATGTTGGCAGGCATTCCTTACATGAACCTTGGTTTTCTTCTTTAGGCTTCATCAGAACACGTCTCTGTAACTCACTCAGATCTCTTCATGGTTGGGGCTTGTCTGTGGTTCCAGAACCTCTAACCACAGGCCTTTTGATGAACTTCCCTTCAGCATGTGAGCTCTCTATTAGGAGATAATGAACTGGCTGCTAACCAGGACTTTGTCTTTCCAACTTCCTAATCAGCCAGGAGGTCTCTGCCTTGACCTCCTTCTTTTCTTTTTACCTTCTCTGTTTTTATCTTGTGACAAAGCGGAGAGACAAAGTTCAGTTTTTCAGTGGTGTGATGTTACCGATTTCAGTTATATTCCATTATTATCTTTTTCTAGTCAAGATGAACTATTATCTTCCATGTGACTAAAGTTTTCTATGCCTCATCTTCCTGTCAGCAACCTTAACTATAGGGTGCTCCTTTTGGCATTTCGGATATTTGTCTGCTTACTTGTAAGACATTATGTCCCTTCCCCAAAATACATAACAAAGTTAGTAAGAAAAAGAATATTTTGTGAAACCTCATAAGATATAATAGAAACAAAATCATTTCTCCACATATCTGTGGAGCAGTGCCTAATCATGTGCCCTTAAATATTTAAGGAACTGACATGTAAAATTGATCCTATTTTTTATTTAAGGACTCTAAAATACTATGTAAACTAATTTAAAATAATTTACCTGAATTAAATCTTTGCAACTTTTTAGGATCATACCTATTTTAAACTTCGCTTAGACTGGGCCTTTATTATCAGAGCAGGCAATGTGGCAGTTGTAGCTATAAATACCGGACATTTCAGTTATGGGAACGTACCATCTTGGGCTTTTTTTTTTTTTTTTTGCTTTGCTTTGCTTTCTGCCATGAGGTGTTGTGACCATCATAATGTCTTATTACTATTAGACAGACCTCAAACAACATGTGTGCCTTTCTGACAGGTTAGTGGCTTTAGCTATATTTATATGAAAGATAGAACTTTCTGATGAGGTATAAATAAACACACAGAATATTCTTCATCTTCCCTGTGCTTTTCTATGTTGTGAACATTGAGGAGATGGCCTAATGTTCACAGATTACACTGTTGAAAGGCTTGCATGAAGAAGATTTTTTTGAGCATGAAGGCATGTATAGCTATGAAAGAGGGGCTTTTCTTTGGAGCAAGAAAGAATTTTGGTAAAGCCTTTTCATGCTTACTCTTTCTTAGGATCCTAGTTCAGCTTCTGGAAGAACACCAGTCATACTCCATTGCTAAAGCATAGCTAGGTCATCTGGGAGCCGTAAACAGTAATACATTGCTTAATGTGGAATAATGGTTCATTTTCTCCACCAGCATCCTGGAGGTTTGGAAAACTCTTGTATTACACAGAATATGGTTCTCCTACTAACTGGCATCTTATCTTGTTTTTCGCAGCTATACACTGAAGTGTCAAACACAGTCAGATTTTGGCAAAGTGACAATGCAGTTTGAACTAGAAGTGTGCCAACTTCAAAAACCCAATGTGGTGGGTATCAGGAGGCAGCGGCTTAAAGGCGATGCTTGGGTTTACAAGAGATTAGTGGAAGACATTCTATCTAGCTGCAAGGTATAATTGATGGATGGTTTCTCTCCTGCCAGTTGAGTGTGGGCATTTACAGCTCATGTGGAGACTGGCATGATCGGTTTGACTTTAAAGACCATTGGAACTACCAACTCATTTGTAAAAAGCTACCTTAGGACCAGTATCTTTTGTTTAAACAAAAGATACTATTTTGTGGATGAACCTAAGGCAAGCCCATCTGTCATTATCTGTTACTCTCTTTTTTAACCATGTGGCTTTGTATATTGATAACTGTTACTTTCCTAGCTTCACTTTCATATGTGAATGTAAACCCTTAACTATATCTCTTTTTAATGTATAATTTCTTTCTGAAATAAAATCATTTGTGAATATAGCAGGCTTTTCTTCTTTGTATTTGATTTTGATCCAAATAAAACCACAAATGGCTTCCTGACTATTAAGTAGAGACTATTTGGAGTATGTTTTATCTGTTATCAAATATGCCTTGGGCAGAAAAACAGATAAGAATTCATTTGCATAATTTTTTCCTGTCTCTGATTTAAGTAGGATTTATTGAGATCGTTAACTAAGTCACAGCTGTGGTTACCAGAGTTAAACAACACATTTAATATGTTGAATAAAAGAGTATTGACTTCAGTAAGTATGTTCGGTCAACAATGATAAGTATTCGAACGATGAACCCTTATGAAATGTTACTTTATGGCAATTTCCCTAAGTCTCAATGTTGGACCCAAATTTGTAGTTTTATTTCATTTTATTGGTCTCTAAAGGCCAGAACTCGTTATATTTGTATGGATTTTACCAATTTAACTAGTTGGAAAAAAATAGCACTATTTCTGGTCAGTAGAGAAGGGAGTGTTTTGTCATTCATTTATAGGTCCTGGTACTGAAAATAAATACTGTCTAGGAGACTCATGAGTTTAAAGTCTATTAGCAGGGGCAGATGCCTACACCATGTTTATAGCACAGAGGGGATGATCCACTGTGCATGGAGGTAGGGATGACTTCTTAGAGGAAACGGCATTCGTTCTTGAAGGATATATAGGAGTTTACCAGAAAGAGAAGCAGGGGTTTGACACTTCTATGCGGTGAGAGCATTATGTGTAAAGGTGTGGAATTATAAAATGACATGTGTTTAGGGTAGAAGCAGGAGGTGGTGGTAGAAGGGAGAAATGGCAGAAGGTGAGGATTGCGAGTTTAGATTGAAATAAGTTTCAGGAATTCAGATGTCCCATTCAACTAAGTGTTTTGTTAAAGGAGATATCAAAGGATTTTTTTAAATTTTAAAAATAACATCTTTATTGAGATATAATTCGCATAAGACTTAATCTTTAAAACATGTACAATTCAGGTTTTTTTTAATTGGTATATCATAGTTGTGTAACCATCACCACAATCTAATTTTAGAACATTTTTATCACCCCTAAAAGACATCCTATACCCATTAGGAGTCACTTCCCATTTTCCCACTCCCCAGTCCCTGACAGCCAATTATCTACTTTCTATCTGTATGAATTGACTGTTCTGGATATTTTGTATAGTAGAATCATACAATATGTGGCCTTTGGTGTTCAGTCTCTTTACTTAGCAATAACGTTTTCAAGATTTATCATGTTGTAACCTGTATTAGAACTTCATTCCATTTTACAGCTGAATAATATTCCATTGTATGGGTATGTCACATTTTATCTATCAGTAGATAGACATTTGAGTGGTTTTCACTTGGCTATTATGAATAATGCTGCTGTGAACATTTGTGTACCAGTTTTTATGTGGACGTATGTTTTCAGTTATCTTGTATACATACCTAGGAGTTGAATTCCTGGTTCATTTGACATTTTGAGGAACTAGTCAACTGTTTTCTGATGCCACCACACCATTTTATGATCCCACCAGTGATGTATGAGGGGTCTTTTTAGTTTTAGCCTTTCTGGTGGTTGTGAAGTAGTGTCGCATTGTGATTTTGATTTGCTTTCTCCTAAGATTAATGATGTTGAGCATCTTGCTTCCTTTTTATATGCTTATTGGCCATTTGCATGTCTTTTTTTGGAGAAATGTCTGTTCAGATCTTTGGCTTTTTTTTGGAGTCAAGGTCTCACTCTGTTGCCCTGGCTCAAGTGCAGTGGTGTGATCACAGCTCACTGCAGCCTCCAACTCCTGGGATCAAATGATTTTCCTGCGACAGCCTCCTGAGTAGCTGGAATTACAGGTACACACCACCACACCTGGCTAATTTTTAAAAAAATTTTTGTAGAGATGTGAGTTTTCTATGTTGCAGAGGCTGGTCTCCAACTTATGAGTTCAAGCAATCCTCCCACCTCAGCCTCCCAAAGGGCTGGGATTATAAGTATGAGCCACTATACCAGCCTCTTTTGCTTATTTTTAATTGGGTTATGTTTTTACTGTTGGATTGTAAGAGTTCTTTATGTATTCTAGATATGGGTCTCTTATCAACTATGTGATAATATATATGCTGATGTAATCACTGGGCGTGGTGACTCACGCCTACAATCCCAGCACTTTGGGAGGCTGAGGTGAGAGGATTCCCTGAACCCAAGGGTTCGAGACCAGCCCAGGCAACTTGGCAAGACTTCATCTCTACAGTAAATAAAAAATTAGCCAGGTGTGGTGGCGTGTGCATGTAGTTCCAGCTACTTAGAAGACTGAGGTGGAAGGATCACCGGAGCCCAGCAGGTCTAGGCTGCAGTGGCTGTGAGTGTGCCACTCCACTCCAGCCTGGGCAACAGAGTGACACTCCAACTCAAAAAGAAAAAAAAAAATTAAATATATAATGTAAAAATGTCTTTCCACTCTGTGGACTTTTTGATGGTGTATTTTGAACAAAAATATTTAGTTTTCTGAAGTGTAATTTATTTTTGTAAAACATAAGAATAAGATTAATATTCTATCCCTGTGGGAGATAGCATGGTCTAGAACAATGATTCTCAAAAATTTTTGATCATGAACTACAGTAAGAAGCAAGTACACTTAACAGTAACACTGGTAGGTTAGTAGTATCTCATGCTGGTTTAAATTTTTTTTTTTTTAGTTGGAGTCCCACTGTGTTACCCAAGCTGGAGTGCAGTGACACAATCATGGCCATCCCAGCATCAACCTGCTGGGCTCATATGATCTTTCTGCCTCAGCTTATAGTAGCCAGAACTATAGGCATGCTATCATGCCTGGCTAATATTTTATTTATTGTAGAGACGAGGTCTTGCCAAGTTGCCCAGGCTGGTCTCGAACCCACAGGCTCAAGCGGTCTTGAATCCACTTGCCTCAGCCTCTCAAAGTGCTGGGATTACAGGCTGAGCAACTGAACCCGGCCTGGTTTTAATTTTCATTCCTCTAATAACTGGGATTCATTACACATAAACATATATATGAAATACTGCTTAACTTTACCTGTAAGTAATAATATTTCTATTCTCTTTCCTCTTATAAACATCTAGCCAACAATTGTAATTTTTGTTTGTTTGTTTGTTTTTTTGAGTTGGCGTCTCACTCTGTCGCCCAGACTGGAGTGCAGTGGCCGCTTCCGGCCATCGCAGCCTCGACCTGCTGGACTCCGGCGATCCTTCCACCTCAGCTTTCCAAGTAGCTGGAATTACAGGCATGCGCTACAACGCCCGGCTGATTTTTTTTTTTTATTGTAGAGATGAGGTCTCGCTGCCCAGGTGGGTCTCGAACCCGCGGGTTCAGGCAATCCACTCACCTCAGCCTCCCAAAGGTGCGGGATTACAGGCTGAGCCACCGAGCCCGGCTAACAATTGTAATTTTTAAATTGGATTTATAACTACCACATTATTATTTGTTTTTCATTAATTCACCTGTTTTATATCTTTCTTTCCCTGTCTTTTACGTAAAATACTTTGTTACCACTTGCCACCTGTTAACTTGTTACACATTTGTTTATTCTCTTTTTAGTAGTCATGCTAGATTATAACATGCATCATCAGTTTATTATAGTCTATTATATCACCTTCCAAACAAAGCAGAAATCTTTTGTAGCTTAAATACATTGGCCCCTTTAATTTTTTGCATTAATGTTGTTTGCACTTTAAATTTCAAAAGACATTGCAGTTAATGTGTTTCATAATCAGCACTTGTTTATATTTATCCATTTCATTACTCAGTTTTTTCTGTATTGCCTAATGAGCTCCCTTTTACATGCATTTTAAGTGCCGGTCTGTGGTGGCAAATTCATTGTCTGAAGACCTCTTTATTTTACTTTCATTTTTAAAGATTTTCCCAGTGAGTATAGACTTCCAGATAGGCAGGTTCACTTTTCTGCCTCTTGTAGCATTTTAAAGATGTCATTCCATTGCTTTCTGGCTGCCATCATTTCTTCTGAGAAGTCAGCTATTAGTTTTATTATTGCTTCTTTGAAGGTAATGGTCCTTTTCCTCTGGCTGCTTAAAACTTTCTTTTTGGTTTTCAGTAAGTTGACTGATGTATGTAAGTGTTTCTGTTTTTGTTTTGGGTCTAAGAATTTATGCCATTTGGAATTTGTTGAGAGATATAAATCTTTATATTAATGTCTTTCATCAATTTTGAAAAAGTATAACTACTTTTGAAGAGACATTATCTCTTCAAATATTGGTTGTTTTTTTTTCTGGGACTCCAGTTACATGTAAGTTATGGCCAGGTGTGGCCCAGCACTTTTTGGACAGGTGTGGTCCAGCACTTTGAGAGTCTGAGGCAGGAAGATTGCTTGAGTCCAGGTGTTCAAGACCAGCCTGAGCAACATAGCAAGATCTCATCTCTAAAAAAAAAAAAATTAGACTGGTGTGGTGGCACTCGCCTATAGCCCCAGCTACTCAGGAGGTTGAGGAGAAAGGATCACCTGAGCCATGATTGTACTGTTACACTCCAGCCTGAGCAACAGTGAGCCCCTGACTCAAAAAACAAAAAAAAAACCCACTTTTTCATTGTGTCCCACATATCTTTTATACTCCTATATGTGTTTTCCACTCTTTGCATACTTCAGTTTACTTACATGTCTTCCAGTTCACTACTTTTTCTTCTGTTGTTCCTAATCTGCAGTCATACCCATCTATTGATTCTAGTCTACCCATCTATAGGTAATTATATTTTTAACTTAAAATTTTTTGTTTGATTCTTTTTTAAAAAAAAATTCAATTCTCTGGTGAATTTTTCTGTCCATACATTTTTATTTTGTCTTTTTTTAAAAACATAAACCTCAGATTAAAAAGAAAATCCTTGTCAAGTAACTCCAATTTTTAGAATCACCTGTGGGTCAGTTTTTATTGTCTATTTTTCCCTTGAATTTTCAACTTGTTTCTAGGTATATACAGGAATTTTTATTGAGTGATAGAACTTGTGTTAAGAACTGTTAAAGCTTCAAATGAT